ATAAGGAAATTGTGGGGATTATTCAGTCTGAGGAAGAGAAGACTCCAGGGGAGCCTTATTGTGGCTTTTCAGTACCTAAAGGGTCTCCAAGAGAGCTGGAAAGGGACTTTGGACAAGGACAGGGCTAGGTGATAGGACAAGGCAGAATGGCTTTACACTGACAGAGAGCAGGGTTAGACTGGATTTGGGGAAATAATTCTTCCCTGTGAAGATGGTGAGGCCCTGGCACAGATTGCCAAGAGGAGATATGGATGCCCCCTCCCTGGAAGTGTTTCAGGGCAGTTTGGACGGGGCTTGGAGCAACCTGGTCTAGTGGAAGGCGTCTCCACCTGTGGGGATGAGATGTTGGAACTGGATGACTTTTAAGGTCTCTTCAAACCCCAACCATTCAGCAATTCTATAATTCTATGGTCGCCCTCTACCAGCGCTGGGTCACTCGAGGGGAAATAGGGCAGGGGTGAAATTTAAAGTACCCGTGGGTGCTCTGACCACTCTCAGCCTCCCAGCTCCCTCCCTCCTGGGTTTCCCCAGCCTGTGCTGAGTTCCTGGGCTCAGAGGTAGCCATGGTTCTCAAGGCTCCATGTTCTCAGCACAGAGTCCTCCTCCAGCCTCAGGAAGACGCTGCTTCGCCAAAATCCCTGACTCACACCATCTCTTCCTGACAGAAGGCTGGTTCTGCAATTGGAGCTGGGCTTGGGCACGAGCCACACAGCCCTGGAGAGCTGCTGCTGGCACTGCTACGGATGTTCCCTCTGTGCTGCTGCAACTCTCCCTTGCTTCCTGTCAGCCCCATGGTTTCCCAAATCAGAGTTATTTCACCCTCCAGAAAGCCATCCTGCCTAGAAGTCATCCATGCAGGCTGTTCTCCAGGTGCAGAGGCAGGGATGGAGTCAGCTGGCAGCCAGCAGCAAGTTGTTGGTCTCTCTGTGATGCTCAGCACCCCAAGGCTTGGGAAAAGCCTGCTGGGGTGACACCAAGTTCTTTGGGAAAATCCACAGTAGTGAAAGACCAAGTGACTGCCCTGCCCTGCCATGGCTCATCTCAGTGCCTGCAGGAGCCCAGAACAATGCCCAGGGACACCCAGATCACCATGACTGGCAGCTGGGAAGGGGCCAGCTCAGCCACGTTGGCATCTCCTGGCTCTTCAGTCAGGTCCCTCTCAGAGGACATCCCATCCCTGCAGTGTTTTCTAATTTCCAATCTAATCTATCTCTCTCCAGGCTCACTGAGACTTAATATAACACTGGCAACCACCCATGAGCTCGTCCTCCCAGGGAGCAGAACTGTGCTGAGAAGAACTGTACAAAAAAAATAATCCTGGAAATTTCTTCTGCTTTTATGGGGTTTTTATCACCTTTCCTGTGGTCACTGAGAAATAACTGGGCTATGAAGTGCTTCCCAAGCAGCTGTTTGTCTTTGGAGCAAGAGCTGGGACTGGGGGAGCCCGGGCTCATTTTAATTTTATCTTGACTGCAGTGCTCATTGCTCTGCAGTTCCCATTTGTAATCACACGTTCAGTAAAATAATCAAGTTATAATTGCTTGGGATTCCTTCTCTCCTACGTCACAGAGCCCAGGAGGGGAAGCAGTGCTACAACTGAGTCAGCAGCCAGCCTTGGCGTTGCCTTGGGCCAACATTTCAAGAGAAAATTAACCAGAGTTAAACCAAGAAGAGAGCTGATAAAAATCTCCCAAATCTGCCCAGGTGATGAAAAGAGATTTTTAACCTCTCCTTTTCTTGTCATACTGAAAAAAGCATATTCTTCCCTTTGAGTGCCCCCAAAATACGGCTGGATCAGTGCCCATCCTTTGCAGGGCAATCCCCTCCGTGTGCCCAGGGTGGTCAGGGAATGTTCAGCCCCTTCCCTGCTGATCCCTGCTGGGTTTGGGCTCTGCCAGGGGCAACCGGGGAAAAAGAAGAAATCACTGAGCATGATTTCAGAACAAAGAATCATAAGTGACTCAGGTTTAAGAAGAACAATTTTTGCCAGGCAAAATGTAATGGTTTTTTTGGACAGGAATAGAAAACAGGGCTGTGGCTCTCATTAACCCATCACTTGCCTTAATCTGGGGAGTGAGGCTTGGACACACCTGGCCTTGAGGCACTGGGCTTGGCAGAGGTGTTGTGCCAAGGGGTACCTGCAGACACACCTGGGGGTGTTTGGTGGGTGGTGGGTCATCCCACCAATGGGATGAGCAGAGAGAATATTGGGAAACTGGCAGGGACCAGGGAGGCATTACAAATGCCCAGGGTGGCATCCTCATTCTGGCACCTTGTCCTTCCTGCTTCTCCAAACTGGGCTTTTCTTCCTGCACGTGCAGAGGCAGCACTCAGAGGCTTCACAGCTCCTTCCAGCCCCTGGCCCACGGTCAGTGCCACCCCAGCACAGGGATCCTGCTCCTTCCTCAGCTTCACAGCTCCTGCCAGCCCCTGGCCCGTGGTCAGTGCCACCCCAGCACAGGGATCCTGCTCCTTCCTCAGCTTCACAGCTCCTGCCAGCCCCTGGCCCACGGTCAGTGCCACCCCAGCACAGGGATCCTGCTCCTTCCTCAGCTTCACAGCTCCTGCCAGCCCCTGGCCCGTGGTCAGTGCCACCCCAGCACAGGGATCCTGCTCCTCCCTCAGGTGTGGAGCACCGTGGGTTGCATGGTCAGGGCTTTCAGTCTCAGTGTTAAGTAGGTCTCCTCCTCCCAAATCTGACCCCAGTGTCCCACTAAGGGAATCTGTCTGGGGGTGAATCTGCTGCTTCAGCCCTTTTAGGGACCGGGAGTGTGTCAGGACACAGCAAAGAGATCTGCAAGGGAGACACGTCATCACCGGGGCTTGTGCCTAACCATAATAATTTGGTCTTTCTAGCCTTTTAATTTACTAATTAATCCCTGGAAGGGATACTTACTGGGATGCAGGGAAAGAATTCTCTCATCTCTCATCTGGGAGTGCTGAGAATTTCACCAATAGCCCTGGCAGAGCATTAGCAAAGTCAAAGCAGAGTGGAGGAGTCCAGCATCTCACTGGGCCAGCAGCTTCTCATGATTGAGCTGGCCACTCTGCCTGGAAAAAATAATCATTCCCCACTCCTGCAGGGCTATTCCAATGGCTGGGAAACCTATGAGAGCTCCTGGCTGTCTGGAAAGCCCTGGGAGACTGCTGCTGGTGGGAAATGATGGCAGGAGGTAATAATGCATCCTGAGTGTGTTGCTCCTGTGAGGGCTGGGATCAGCCCTGAGCTGGGAAAGGCATCATCTGGTGTGAGTTTTCTTTTGGGAAAAGGGCTCTGTATCTACCTGCTGAGCCCTTGCAGGAGGCATTTCACCAGCCCTGGCCAGGTATCTTCCTGCCCAGCCCAGAGATCACGTGCCCTGGCACCCTGGATGCAGACAGCAAGGGGTGTCTGGCCAGGAGACTTCTTCATCCTCATCCTCCTCCTCCTCTCACCCAGTGTGTTTGACAAACTGCTGCCTCTATGTAATAGTTGATAATTATAAAACTAATTTATTATGCATTTCCTACCCTGCCTCCCCCATGGTGGCTGGGCTTTCCCTACATCCCACCAGTCCTGCACTGTGCCCTGAGGCCCCACTTCTCCATCCTCATCCTGGTCCCCAACCCAATCCCCATCCCTGGCATGGAGAAGTAAACCAGAGAGGATGAGGACAGGGCTGGGATGCTCAGGGGAGAGGAGATGCCACCTGCTTTGGCTCAGGGCTGGCAGAGGCTACAGCTTCATGGCTGGCATGGATGGGAGCAGGGAGCTCAGGGTCCTTTCTCACTGCTCTGGATGTGAGACTTCTCTGTGCCCCAGCACAGCCCACCATCAGATACCAGTTAGCTCTCTGAAGGGGTGCTCCTCTTTCCCAGGCACAGATGACCAGTGCCACCATCAAAAGGCAATGGTTGGACTCAGAGGTCTTTTCCCACCTAAATGATTCTATGATCCTGTCTCCCCTAAAGCTGGTGTGGCTCTGGGGACTTCATCATTCTCAGCATTCCAGCCAAGAGCTCCAACCCACCTCTCTGGGGTCCCAGCCAGCAGAGAGGGAGGGAAGGTGGGGCTGGGGCTGGAGAGATCCTCCACGTAGAGCAGAAATGTCATCTAGGATTGGCACAGTGAACAGCTCTGGCTGTGGAACCTGCTCCTGTTTCTCTTAAGAAGGTTCAGTCCCAGCTGTCAGTCCCCTTCTCCTGCTTTTTTTGAAGTTAGAGAACTACGTGCATGGATCACGTCTCTAATTAATATAAATATAGCGAAACATAAATAATAGACATGCCTGAAATAGTGTCACTCCCAAGCAGGCAGGCAGACGCGTCATGGAAAGAAAATAAAAATGCTTTTTATCTGTTTTGGCATTTTTTGTTTGTTTGTTTTCAGTGGTTTGTTCTGTTCCTGAGGAAAGAGCAACCTTTGCCATGGGTGAAACTGTTCGAAAGTGAGAGACCGAGGTGTAGGGGGAGGGAAGGCCCAAGGAAGAGTGAAATGGGGACTGGGATGGGGACAGAGACGGAGATGGGGACAAGGAAGGGATGAAGACATGGATGGGGACAGGGATGGGGATGGGGACATGAAGGAGAATGAAGATGGGGACGTGTGAGGGGATGGGGACGAAGACGGGTTTAGGGCTGGGGATGGAGACAGGCACAGCGACAAGGACGGGGAGCTTCGGGTCTGCGTGGTCATCGGGAAGCGGGGAAACCCCTGCCGCTGTGGGGAGGTGGGAATTCATCACGAATGAGTTTTACCGTGGAAACACGTCTCCCGCCTCCCCCGCAGCGGCTGCTCCCGCCCCGGCGCTCCCGGCGCTGCCCCGGGCCCGGCGAGCGGCGGGGGCGCGGTCGGGACCGCCGGGCTCTTCCCTCCAACTCCTCCTCCTCCTGCTCCTCGTCCTCGTCCTCCTCCCGCTCCCGCCCCGGCCGCCCGGTGCCGGCGGAGGCGGGCGGAGCGGCGGGGCGGGCCGGGCCCGTTCGCATCCCCATCCCCGCCCCGCCGCGGGAGCGCCAGCTGAGCAGCGCTGCCGGCACCGCCAGCCCCGGAACCGCCGGGCTGAGCAGCGCTGCCGGCACCGCCAGCCCCGGACCCCCGGGCTGAGCAGCCCTGCCGGCACCGCCAGCCCCGGAACCCCAGGCTGAGCAGCCCTGCCGGCACCGCCGGCCACGGAGCTGCCGCCGCCGCCGCCGGAGCGCCCCGGCCGGTCCCGCCGATGGCACCGCGCTGCCGCCGCCAAGTAAGGGGACAGCGGCGGGGGGACGCGGGGCTGGGCGGGGGAGTTGGCGACGCCTGCGGGCTCACCCCTTTCAGTGGAGGGTAACCCCCCGATCCGCTCGGGATCCCCACCCCACGCGGGAGCGGCTCGGCAGCGCACGTCGATCCCCGTCTGCTGCCCTCGGAGTCCGCCACCCTCCCCCGGGCCGGCCCGGAGCCCTTCCCCAGCGGTTTCGGGAGCGGTGCCGGCGCTGGAGGAGTGGAGCAGTGCTGGGGTTGGGGATCGGGGTTCCCCCGTGTGTGGCTCCGCTCCTGAGGAAGCTTCCCGAGGGCTGGAGAGAGGGCAGCGTACCCTGGTCCGCAGGGTGAGGAGGATGGCAACCAGCCCCTAAAGCAGCCCGGGGGGCACACCGCCCTACACCACCCTACACCGCCCTACACCACCCTATACCACCTTCACCGGTGTCTCAGCGTGTGTTGGTTCTCAGCCTGGCTATAAAACCGCCCGTCCTTTGGCTGGGCAGAAGAACAGCCCAATCCAGCTGCTCCTGTGTGTTGCCAGGCTGGAAAAGCTCGTTAGGGTCTTTCTTGTTAGGTAAAAATTGCCGGGGCCGTTGGCTTTGGAAGGCTTTGGCAGGGCTGAGGTGGTGCTGGTGTGGCTGGCCCGTGGAAGGGGCTGGATGTGACTTGTTCTGCAGGTTGTGTTGGGGGATGAAAGGGGAGAATGCCTTTCAAAGGTACCAGGAAGCAGTGCTGCCCTGCACAAGGTGTGGTTGTAACACACAGGACTCGTGGCCATAGGATTCCTGCAGGGACAGAGAACCAGGGATTCTGTGTGACAGGTTTGTAGATGTCCTGAAGTCCTGGGCTTATATGTGCAAGGTGATGGAGGTGGGATCCTGGGGTGGATCCCAGTCCTTAGGCTGCAGGCCCAGCATTTGCTGCCCTGTCTGGAGTGGGGAAGGGCTTTTCCATGAGACAAGGTCTGCTTTGACTGGGACCTGCAGGGGTGATGGCAAAGGGAAGGGCCTTGCTCCAAAGGCATCCAAACTCAGATCCAGTCTGCTCTGAACTCAGCCAGCAAAATTATTCTCTAAAAATCCAACAGTAGTAAGTCAGGAAGTTGTTGGTGTCTCTGGGGTATGAGCTGTCCTGGCCCTGGCTGTTCCAAGGGAGGCTGTGCTGGGTCCCCGCTGTCACAAGGTTGAGCCAAGCTCTCCCAGCACCCAGCTGGGAGTTGGTACAGCCACAGCCCAGCCCTGGGGCTGGAGAGCTGGCTACAGCCACCCGCCTCTCCCTGTGTCTCTGAGGGGGAGAGCATGGATGCTGTGAGCACCCCTGCCAGCACCTTGTATCACCCTGCTGCCACGAGGGTGCTCGGCCACAGAGCAAAGCTGCTGTGGGGTACCTGGACAGCGTGCCTTGCTCTGTGTGGGTGATGGTCAGAGGGTCAGGGGAATGTGTAGACAGCAACAGGTTTGGAGAATGGAAAAAGCCAATCCCGAGTGTCCTCCTGGGCTGGCAAAATGCAGGAAAGCGCCTTCTCCTGTCGCTGCAGAAAATAGTTTGAGCGTGACTTGGTTGGGGTTTGTTTGCTGCAGTGGGACAGGAGGGATTTATACTCCACCCACCGCCTCAGGGGCCTCTCCCCATCCAACACAAAAATAGGCTGATCTTTCCAAAAGATGGTGGGGGAGGCCTGGAAAATGCCATTCCTGCAGGGACCTGCCATGCTTCTGCCCCGGGAGATGTGGCATGTGACTGTGGCTTCTGCAGGCCCGGGCAGGGAGCAGGGATGAGTGCACCGAGCCCGGCGTGGTGCAGCGCTGTATCCCACTGCTGCCAGGGAGCCACAGCCTCTGCACGTGTGCGTGTGTGCTCAGCAGCAGCGTTGCCTCCTCGTGCCACCTCCTGCAGCTCAAGGAGCCGATGGTTTTCCTTCCCGAAGGGTGTCCGGAGCAGAAATCTCCTGCAGGGCAGGTGCTGCAGCCCCATGCACACGTTGCTGTGAAGCTGATCGGAGGCTGGAGGCTCTGCCAGCACCTGGAAGCTGCCAGCCCATTGTCTGTGGTTCTGTGCCCCAGCGTGGGCAGAGCTGTGGCCCTGAGGGACCAGGTGGGTGGCAGTGGAACAGGGTCTCCCAGTGCCACGGTGACCCCAGAGCACTGTGCTGTGGCATGAGGAGCTGGCTCCTCCATGCACAGCAGCACTGGGCAGCCAGCGCCTGGGGGCTGGTGGAGAGGCTCCAGACAGGGATGTGTGCCTGGGAAAACAGCTCCTCTGCCATCCCATTGCTGCTTCTGGGATTCCCCATCCCTGAACACCAGAGCTGCCCACGGACAGCCCTTTGTTAGGGACATGGGCCCGTTCCACTGCCTGTGGCTTGGTCCTGCCGCATGTCCAGGCTCCGCTTCCCCTTGGGGGCTGGCCCATGGCTAACTCCAGCCTGGCATTTCCCTCGTTGATGTATTTCAGGCCCTACATGGCTGCGCCCTGGCTCCCACGGAGCTGTGCCCATCGATGCTCCCAGCAGCACCTCTTCCATCACTGCAGCTGGCAGGAGTTCCACGCAGCTCCCCAAGAGCTCCAGCGCTGCTTGCCCCCCCAGGAAGCTCTGGGAGGCCCCAAGGTCCCCCCTGTCCGTCCTGCCCTGCCCTGAGTGACGCCAGGCCGGTGCCCACGGAGCAGGGAGGGGGAGAGGAGAGGGGCCGTGCCCGGTGAGCGCCTCCAGGCAGGGTAATCCGGTGTTATTTGTAACACTAGTAGGGAGCTATTTTTAGAGAGAGGCAAATTTGATTTAATAGAACATAATTTGCCGCTGACAATTCAGAGGGCGGCCAAACGAGGAGCAGCTGGATTCCTGAGGAGGCTTTTTCCTGCCCTTCCTGAAATCCGAGGCTGACGTGCCAGGAGTGGCATTTGTTATTCCAGCAATTGCTGGGGGAAAGCCCCTTGGGATGGCCCAATTAGCTGTGCTTTGCTTTCCTTCTGGAGCTTTGTGCTACCCCCTCACTCGCCATTAAAAGAAGCCAGGGATATTTTTGCTGCCCTCAGTGCCCCCAAACTCCTCCAGGGAGCTGGAGCCAGCCAGCTCCCCCCCTTTGCCTTTTCTTCTAGCTAGTTCTGCACTCTCAGCCTCTCCTTGGATAACTTTAGGATAAAAAAGAGGCTCTGATCAAATCAAACAGCTTGTGTGCCAGGAAACATGAAGTCTGTGTGTATCCCTGGGCATTTCTTACAGACTGAGCTTTTCCGGACCAGCCTTGGAAGTACTTTGGGACAAACCCCTCATCCAGGATAGGAGCAAACACCACATTCTTGCTTGTGCTTTCAGCAAGATGAAGATCCCCGCAAAACCAAAGCCACTGTGGGAAGACATTGGGTTGTTCTTCCCTAGCCAAAGCACTGCTGTGTCCAGCCTGTCCCCGGCTGGTGGCACCGAGCTGGGATACTCACAGGCTGGAGGGAAGTTGTCATGGGGCTGCAGGGCCCCAGTGAGGGTGGGAAGGTGAGATTTTCCCCAGGACTGTATGTTATCCCACCAGGAATGCCCCGGGGCAGAGCAGTGAGGGCCCTGCTCCCTGTCCTGGGACAGCCCTTGCTCAGCCCCTGGGCAGGAGCAGCATCTGCTGGGGTCCCCAAACCCCACAGCCCTCCAGGCAGCCTCAGAGGCAGCAGCCAAGACATCCCAGGCCATGGAGGGGTGGAAGAAGAGCCCAGTGACTTTGTCCTCCCGGGAGGAAAGGACTGAGCAGCACTAAGGAGGGCTGTGCCATTGAACTCTAGCCAGGGTTTGGTGGGCTCCTCTCTGTGTGCAGGCACTCCTTGCAGCTGGAAAACCCCTTGGCAGCCATCCAGGCAGATGCTCAGCCCTGTGCTGTTTCCTCAGGGGTCACCATGCTCCCCACAGCCCCAAGGAAGGTTTGCTCCTTCCTCTGCCAACACCAGGCTTTGCCCCTGGGACCATCTCTAGCCCTGGAGCGTTTTCAGCAGCTGAATATAGAGCCAGAATAGCATTAGTACAGAAATGTGGGTAAAATCCTGAGGATGGGGGGTTAAGTGACTGCTCCTGGTGCACCCCCATATGTGAATGTCCCTGGGGACTCTGTGTGGGGTTGGTGTGGCACGTGGGACCTGAGGGCTCCCCAAAATTACTTGTTCCTCTTAATCAAAGGCGTTTTTCTGTGAATGGAAAGGTGCAGCCAGCTGGGGGATCTGGGTGCTCCCCAAGCACCATCCCAAGTCCTGTGATCTTTCCCACCTCATCCTTTCTCTGCTTTCTCCAGTCCGTCAGCTTAGGCTGGTGGAAACTGGGAGCCAACATTTAGCAGGGAAACAGCTCTAAAATGGAGATCAAACTCCTTGGAGAGCAACCACCTCCTCCAAATGCTGCCCTTTGCCTGATGACCAATTTGGTTAAATGAAAAAGACTAAAAAAATTGTGAAGCCTATAAATGGGTGGGCTGGAGAGGGCCCTTTAGTCAGGGTTTTTCTGTGGCACAGGGTTTTCCCTTGCATCCGGTTTTGACTATAGATTTTCATTTACAGTGATTCTCTGGAAGTAAACACCAGCTTCAAAGGTGCAGGAGTACACTGGAAGTTTCTACTCTCTTGTATTCCCTGCCTCCAGTTTTTGCATCTTCTTTATATATTCCTGCCCTTCCTTCTGCTCCCCTTGCTGGGTTCCCCTGGGAAATTCTGGGGGTGACAAGTTCCTTTCCCTGCCCAAGGTATTTGCTTGACCTCTGTCAGCCACATCCTCTGGCCAGTGCGAGTTGTGGCTGGCACAAGGCTGGCTCTGAGGCAGAGGAGCTTCCCCAGGGCCACCAAGCCCTGAGAATGCTCACCAGTGAGGTGCCCTGTGCTCCTCCTCACTGCAGCCCACAGGCTCTGCTCCCTGGGGCTCAGATCCCCCACATCTGCAGGGGGGCAAAGCACCCTGGCACCCCATTTCCAAGCTCACACACCCGCTGCTGAGGGTGACTGTTCCCAGGGACAGCAGGACCCTGTCTCTGCCTCCTGCTGACCCCCTCCTCTCTCTCTGTCCCCTCCAGGCAGAAAGGTGCTGAGCAGGTGCCCCGAAGCTCTGGGCTGGTTCCCCACAGGCTCAGCAGAACGATGCCAGCAGTGCCAGAGCCGCCTGTGCCCCTCGCCGTGCCGATGTGACCGAGCCCTGCCTGGGACCTGTGGCACTGAGGCTGGCACAGAAGCAGTGGCTGGTGGCCCCTGCCGTGTCCCTGCTGCCCAAAGATGAGTGATGGCATGTGGATCTCGCTCAGCCCCGCCGAGTTTGCCCAGCTCCAGCAGTACACGGACTGTGAGTACCCCGGGACGAGGAGAGGGGTTGCATGAGATCAAAAGTCCTGTTGGTCTGTGCTGGACTGGTGTCCTACCTTTCCTTAGTGTCCTCCTGGAAAACTAGGTGATTGCTTAAGATTTTGGGAAAGCCCCTGAGCCCTCAGCCTGGCTGGCTGGGGTCCCTGTGCCTGCCTGGCCGGGAGGATCGAGCGGAGCTTTGGGGGCCGCACACGTGAGCTGGGCTCAGTCCGTCTGAAGGCGGCCGGCTCCCACGTTCCTCAGCAGAGTGAAATGCCAACCAGGAAAGCAGACTGGCTTTTCCCAAACACACAGAGCTGCTCCACAGCGTGCTTTGGGCTGCCAGCCCTCTGCGGTAATTTTCCTTAGTGCTTTTGCAGAGCAGCGCTCTGCTGCGGCTCCTGCCGAGGAAAGGAGATTTGCAGCAGCACCAAAGGGGTCATGGAGCTGGGAGAAGCTGGAAACAGAGCCTGGGTGAAGCCCAGAGGTCCAAAACCAGGTCTTTGAGGTCCTGCCTGCCAGAGAGCTGGAGTGTGGGCGTGCTTTTTGCAGCAGTGGATGGAGAAGCGGTGCAGCTCGTGAAGGTGCTGAGAGCAGAGCAGGGTAGAGCAGGAAAACCACAGGGTGGAGGGAGAAGGGGTGTAAAATCACAAGGGTGCTGCTTTGCAGAATTGGCATGGCCCTGGGGTGAGCAGGCTGGATGGGAGAATGACTGAGAGGCAGAGGGGACACGGTGAGCCCTGTGAGGCTGTCCTTGGGGACGCTGTACATCAAAAGGTGAGGCTGGGGACAGGTTCCTCCTGGTCCCCAGTGGGGCCGTGCTCCTGCCCACCAGCCAGACACTCAGGGCTGCAGGCAGAGGTGTGTGTGCAGTGTCCCTCTCTGCATCTCATTCTGCCTCTCTGGAGGATGATGGGCTTTGCTTTCCTGAACCCCAGAGCATGAAACACCATCTGTAACGCTGGACTCAGAACACCAATGGCATCTTAGTTTCACTAACCAAAGTGTGGCCAGCAAGGCTGCAGCTGCCTTCTCCCCTGCAGGATGGCTCAGCACTGGGCTGGAGAATGAGATTTGGGGGTCCTCTGGGGAGGGCCAGGATCCCTCTCCTTGAGTGCCCCAGACTTCCCAGACAGCTGTGGTCCAGTGCCAGGTTCTGTCCCCTGCAGAGGGCTGGGGGGATCACAGCCAGCACAGCCCCCACGTGGAGAGAGGATTTCCCAGTAATTAACAAGGCTGGTGTGGCTGGGAACCTTTTAATTGCACATGCCCAGGGAGGTGTGTGAAGGTGAGGGCTGAATGTTCACTCACCTTGATCTTTTTTTCTGCTTTTCCCTTTTTTCCGCTGTCTTGAAATGATGAATGTCCCTCCAGACACTCCAGCCTTAAGGACACCCAGCCAGGGTGTCTTTACTACTTGTGTGGAAGTTTGCATGGACAAATCCAGGGACAGGACAAGAAGGAATGGCCACAAGCTACACTAGGGGAGGTTCAGATTGGATGTTCAGGAAAATTTCTTCCCCAAAAGGGTAGTCAAGCACTGCACCAGGCTGTCCAGGGCAGTGGTGAAGCCACCACCCCTGGAGGTATTTAAAAGCCATGGAGATGTGGGACATTTCTATCTTTGTGCTGCTTAATGGTTGGACTTGATCTTAGAGGGCTTTTCCAACCTAAATGATTCTGTGATTCTATGAATACAGTTCTATTTCTCCCTCCTGGAGATAGCAATGGGCAGCCCAAGGCAGCCTCTGGGATGAGTGGCCCTGCCAGGGGGTGCCAGCAGCCCCCTGCACTGGGCAGGGACATGCAGGGTGTGCTCAGCACACCAGAGCAGCTGGGACTGCAGGGTGATCACGCCTTCCTTGCTTTGTCCTGGGTCTGTGTTTATTTTCATACTGGTAGGAGGAAGTTCTCTGTGTATGTAAAGCTCCCAGGCCAGCTTTCCATATCTGCCCTGCCCTCTGAAGGTGGAAGGGGAAGCAGGGCATGGCTGGCCTCTTCCAGGCACGGAAGGATCCAGAAATTGTACACGCAGCAGATAAACCCCTCTGCAGCACCCTGCTGGTGGATGACAGGGGCAGCCCAGCGGGGCCGTGCTCAGCAAGGTGCCTTTGTCTCCCCAGACTCCACCAAGAAGCTGAAGGATGTTCTGGAGGAGTTCAATGGGGACGGCGTCCTCTCGAGGTACAACCCCGAACAGGTACGGCCCTGTGCCCGCCGCTGTCCCCCGTGCTGCTGGCAGCTCCCAGCCCCTGCAGCTCCCCCAGCCCAGCTCCCCCGGCTGGGAGCAGCCAGGAGGAGGCAGGGCTGCCTGCTGGCCCCCAGCTCTCCCCGTGGGTTTGCACCCAGGACTTGATTCCCTGGCCATCCCCAGACCGTGCCCGCTGCATGGCCATCCCACCCCACCCTGCTTTTTGGGTGGCGTTGCCTTGCCAGGCTGAATCTGGGAGGGTTTTGCTCTCCCCCTAAAAGCAAATGCCTTGGCCAGCATGGGGATGGGACAGCTCTGTGCCCTCTTGCTCTCCTCTAAAGAAGGCTGGGATTGTTTTTTCCAAGTGGTGCTTTCAGAGGAATCTGTTGGTGTGCCAGCAGGACAGAGCTGTAATCACTGGAATCAAGGCAAAATGAGAAAAATCAGTGGGCTGAACATGCAAGGGAGGGGCACAAAGGTACCTTGTTATTCCAGGGCACCACAGGACCCTCACTCCAGCTGGGGCCACAAAAGCCATTGAGGAGTCATCGTCCTCACACAATGGCAGTGCCCAGCAGGGGAGGAGGGGGCACAGAGTCCTCAGGAGGAGGATAGTCCCCATGGGGCTGGGGCTGGGCTGGAAAGTTCCACTGCTCTGCCCTTCCCTGCCACTCCCCCAGCTCCTGCCCTGGCTGCTGTCCCTGCTGCCAGCCCTGCTCGCCTGGCTCAGCCACGCTGGCACTGGGCATTTCTGGCCCTGCTGCCTCTGGGTCCCTTCAGGTTACTCCAACCACTGGATTTGGGAAAGCAGCAGTTTTGGGGAGGGCTCTGTAGCTGATGTGCCCAGTGAGGGGGGCCCAGGGCATGCAGCCCCACTGGCAGCTCTGCACCCTCATGGTGACCTAGGGCACCTCCATCCTCCTCCTCCTCTGTCTGCTCCCCAGCCCATCGACTACGAGGGCTTCTGCCTCTTCATGAAGACCTACCTGGAGGCTGATGTGCCTGAGGAGCTTTGCCAGCACCTCTTCACTTCCTTCAAGCGTAAGATCTGCCAAGCCTCCCCCGAGAGCCAGCAGCAGAGCCCTGGAGTGTCACAGCCCAGCACCCTGGGTGAGCCAGCCCTGCCACCCAGCTGGGCTCTGGGGCACCTCAGCACGCTGGGCTTGCTCCCACACTGCCCACAGGAATGAAGGCTGGGGGGTGGCACCTGAAGGGGTGGCACCTGAAGGGGGTGGCATATAGACACCCCCATCTGTGGGATGGGTTGCCAAGGCCCTGTGCAGCTCCAGGGAGGGATTTCTCCAGGATGCAATGGCACCTGCCCTTTCCTCTGCACATTCAGAGCCCAAGTCACTCTGTCAGCATCTCTGTGCAGGCTGAGGTGGCCTGTGCCTCTGTCACAGGTACTGGTGCAAGCAGCCACCCTGCACTCAGCTGCACCCAGAGCAGGCTGTGTGTGCCAGGCACCCAACTCTGCCTCCCCAGCCCTTCCCGGCTGGATTCGTGGCTCGTGGAGACATCTGCTGAAAAGACTATAAATTGCAAAGGGAATGGGAGAACGTCCCCCAGCTCTGGCTGGTGATGGAGGAGCACATCCTCTGTGCTCTGAGCACTGTGCTGTCCATCAGCCAGGGATGTGAGCGCTGCTGGGGGCTGCTGGGCCTCCTGTGGTGCCCCTCAGAGAGCCCTGGGGCTGGGATGCCAGGGCAGACAGGCATGGGGCTAGCAGAAAGAACCCAGGGCAAGCAGCCAGCACCAGTTCCTGGAGCAAGGGGCACAGACACCCTGGTGTCACTGCCCTTGGGCGTGTCTGCTTGCAGGGATCAATGGGAAAACCCTTCGAAGTGCTCTGGGACGACACACTCCCGAGCCCAAGGGCTGCCACAGCAACACAGCTGAGCCACAGCCAGCATCCCTCACCCTGGCATCGATCCCCAATGCCTCCCCCAGCTGGTCCAGATCATCCTCCCAGAAATCCACCACTGGCACCACCTCTGCTCACAACTCCTCGGGCTCCTCCAAGATCTCCTCCGTGTCTCTGCTCAGCCCTCAGTCACCAGGTGAGCTTGGCTGGAGCTCCACAGGGGGACTGGGGCAGTGACAAGCCCTGCCCAGTTTCTGCTCAAGTGCCCAGCGTGGTGGCAGTGACCTCCCAAACTCAGTTCCTGGCATCTTGACACCTTTGCTGCAAACTTGAGCTACAGATTCCATCCCACAGAGCCCCCATCAGTCGATGTCTTAATTACCTGGCAGCATCTTGTAGGGAGGGGAAATGGGGCAGTGGGTCACAGCTGCCCCAGCCCCAGCCCCTGCCAGCCCCCGAGGAAGGGCCCCTCTGCCAGGAGCATCCCTCCTGCCATTGGCACGGGCATCAGTGAGCGTGGGCTGTCCTGGCACCCTGGCAAGCTGCCCTGCTGCCCACTGAGCTTCTCCCTCCTCTGGGTGGATGCTTGTTCCCACCAGGACACGTTTCCTTGGGCTCCAGCTGCCATCCTGCCCATAGCTGCAGTGATGGAGGTGTGGCACTCTACTGTATTTGTGAGGACCCCCGTGGCAGGGAGGAATGATGAATCTGACTCCATGTTCTCAGAAGGCTAATTTATTATTTTATGATCTATATTATATTAAAGAATACTATACTAAAGAATACAGAAAGGATACTTACAGAAGGCTAAAAAGATAATAATGCAAACTCATGACTCTCTCCAGAGCCCTGACACAGCCTGGCCCTGACTGGCCAAAGAGTGAAAACAACTCACAGCAGAATGCAATGGAACAATCACCTGTGGGTAAACAATCTCCAAACACATTCCACATGAGCACAGCACAGGAGAAGCAAATGAGATAATATTGTTTTCCTTTTTCTCTGAGGCTTCTCAGCTTCCCAGGAGAAATATCCTGGGTGAAGGGATTATTTCAGAGAATGTGAGTGCCACAGGAGTCTGCATCCCAAGGACTGAGTGGCACTGCCCAGCCCTGAGCCTGTGATGGCACCCAGCCCCAAGTGCCCTTTTAATGCCCATTCCTGTGTCCCCTCTGTGTCCAGCCCTGGCCCTGTGGTGTCACTCAGTCCCACGCTGAATGGGTCCCTCCCACAGAGTCCCCATGTCCCACCTGGTGACAATTCCTGGTCCAGTGTCATCCCTGCGTGTGGCTCTCTCCCTGCCCACAGGCACGAGGAGCGTGGAGAAGAGGTTGCCCTTCAGCCTGAGGAAAGGCTCCAGCTCCCTGAAAGCCACCCCTCCTCCTCCTCCCAGCCCCGTGGCCCAGGTGGTGCACCTCAAGGACATTGTCTGCTACCTGTCCCTGCTGGAGAGGGGACGAGCAGAAGACAAGCTGGAGTGTAAGTGTCACCCTGGGCTCCCTTGTGGGGAGGGGGACCAGTGGCTCAGGTGTCACCTGCAGGGGGGTCTGGCTGCTCCTGTCCACTTGGGAAAACCCCTCTGCATCCCCTTCTGCTCCTGCCTGGGTCTTTACTACTTGTGTGGAAGTTTACACGGACAAATCCAGGGACAGGACAAGAAGGAATGGCCACAAGCTACACTAGGGGAGGTTCAGATTGGATGTTCAGGAAAATTTCTTCCCCAAAAGGGTAGTCAAGCACTGCACCAGGCTGTCCAGGGCAGTGGTGAAGCCACCACCCCTGGAGGTATTTAAAAGCCATGGAGATGTGGGACATTTCTATCTTTGTGCTGCTTAATGGTTGGACTTGATGATCTTAGAGGGCTTTTCCAACCTAAATGATTCTGTGATTCTATGAATACAGTTCTATTTCTCCCTCCTGGAGATAGCAATGGGCAGCCCAAGGCAGCCTCTGGGATGAGTGGCCCTGCCAGGGGGTGCCAGCAGCCCCCTGCACTGGGCAGGGACATGCAGGGTGTGCTCAGCACAGTGTCTGCCCCAGGGCCTTGATACTGCACAGCCCTGGGTCACATCTCAGCCTGGCTGAGCCAGCACACTGCTGCTCCCACCCTGAAGCTCCAGCAGCCTGGAACAGGGATCTGGGGCAGCCCTGGGTGCCCTGGGGCTGGGCTCTAATTATCAGCAGCTTCTCTCCTCCCTGCAGTTATGTTTCGCCTCTACGACACCGATGGAAACGGCCTCCTGGACAGCTCGGTGAGCCTTCCCTTGGGACAGAGAGCAGGGCAGCTCAGGGGGCAGGAAACATGTCCACTGCCCTGCTGAGGGGCTCCACAGAGGGGCAGGGATATGGGAAGGGAGGAGGAAAGCAGCAGCTGGACTGCAGAGCTGGGGAATCACACGGCAGCTCTGCTGCATCCAGCAGGAGCTAGGAAAAAATCCACCCACCAAGAATTGTAGCACTACATCAGGTCATGGTATTTCAGGGAAGAAAAAAGTCATGCACAGCTCCTTCTCCTATGATGTTTTCTCTTTGTTCTTTAGATATTGCCCATGAAACCTACTGCAAATAAAATCTGGTTTATCAGAATAGTTCTCCTCTAGGAAAACCCACTACAGATTTTCTTGCAGGTTTTCAGGGCAGAAGGACCTGAAAAAAGAAGGAGCACCCACTGAGGACTGGGGTGCTGCTGCCCCTCCTGTGTGGGTGGGACTGGGGTGGCCTTGGGCATATGGGAATGCAGACCTTGGGTTCTGGGGCTGGCTGCTCTGCTCATGCCTGGAGCCATCCCTAACCCTGGGCCCTGCCTTGTGTGTGTGCTTAGGAGCTGGATCGTATCATCAACCAGATGGTGCACGTGGCTGAGTACCTGGAGTGGGACTCCACCGAGCTGAAACCTGTGAGTGCTGGGGCTGGGGGCAGCAGGGGCAGCTGCAGGGGCTCTCAGCCAGAGCCCTGGGTGGCATCACTGTCACACACCGCGTTCTGTGCCCTCCTGCAGATCTTGAAGGCTATGATGGAGGAGATCGATTACAACCACGATGGGACGGTGACGCTGGAGGAGTGGATCCGGGGTGGCATGACCACCATCCCCTTGCTGGTCCTGCTGGGGATGGAGACTGTGAGTGTCCCTGAGGACACCTGGTCCAGCCTACCCACGCACTCATACAGCACCACACAGCCCCACGCTGGCCTACAGCCCCTGCTGACACCCCCACCCTGCCCCCTTCACCCCCCAAATCTTTCCAAGCTCATTTTTGAGCTGCTGTGCCCAAGCAGGCTGGGCTTGCTCCTTGCTATTGCAGTGCTCTCCAGTTGGATGAACATTTAATCAAATCCTAAGATGAGTAGGTCACAGTCACAGCTGCCCCTTGCCCCAGCCCCTGAAGAAGGGCCTCTCTGCCAGGAGCATCCCTCCTCCATTTTCGATGGCATCTCCTCGTGTAGAATGAGGCTTAAAGAATAAAGGTGGGGTTGTTGGCACCCCCTTTATTTCTCTGTCTTGTTTTCCCATCCTTTTGGTCTTCATTTCTTTCAAGTGCATCCCTGGCCATCAGGTAATGATTTGCAGGGAAAGATGGTTTTGCTCATGGTGCTCATGGTTCCCCTGGAGAGGTGGGGTGGGGTGACAGACAGAAAAAATCAAGAAAACAGAGAATTTTCACTGGCTCCTGCAAAGCACTCATGCCTGGCCCCAGATGAAGAGGTTTGTGCTTTTGTCACCCCATGGTGGCAGTGGTGGCTTGGCCCCAAATGTGAAGTCACCTTCCTGTCAGCTGCAGGAAGGTGACAGGATCTTCCCTGTGGCTGGGCTGTGCCAAGGGTCCGTGGGAGCTGGAGCTGGACATGCCCAGGGGGATGCAGTGGCAGGGATGCTCTGGGGAGCTCCAGGAGAGAAGGGGAATAGGGGGAGCCCATGATCCTGCCAGGAGCAAACTCCCAGATGCACCATGGGGTTTTCAGGGGAGGAAAAGCTGATTAAAATGATGGGCTGAGGGTGCTGGGACTCTTTGCAGCAGGGGAGTGACCTCCACCCTCCACTCTCTTGCCCTGCAGAACGTGAAGGATGACGGGCAGCATGCCTGGAGGCTGAAGCACTTCAAGAAGCCTGCCTACTGCAACTTCTGCCGCACCATGCTGCTGGGCGTGCGCAAGCAGGGCCTCTGCTGCTCCTGTGAGTCCTGCAACCTTGCCAGAACGCTGCACTCCCACACTGCTGGCTCCTGCCACATCCATTGGTGCCCTGGGCAGGGAGGATTGGTGCCTGTTAGGGCTGAGCCCCGTGGGTGCTGCAGGCTGGGTGGGGAGGGGGCAGCTGCCATGCTGGGAGGTGATGCTGACCCCTTTCTTGGTGGCACTTGGGGTAGTGGTGCCCTGGTGGTGTTGGGGTAACAGCTGGACTGAAAGGTGTTCCAGGGCTTTTCAAACCTAAGTGATTCTGTGGCTCTGTGATTTTTGTCTCTCGCCAGTCTGCAAGTACACGGTCCACGAGAGGTGTGTGTCCAAAGACATTGCTTCCTGCATCAGCACCTATGTTAAATCCAAGAAAAACACAACTGTGAGTAGGCAGCTGCTGCATTTCTGAGCCACTGGGTGTCCTGGCCCCTTGGTCTCCTGCTCTGCTTCCCCATGGCTTCTTCCCCTGGGTTTTGGCCCTCTCATCCTGGGTAGCAGCTCATGGGCACTCCCAGCATCCAGAGCCTTGCAGGATGCACCCCATCCCCAGTCCCCAGGCATCCACACGACCCCCAGCTCCAAGATTTGCCGTGGCTCTGCAGAGGGGCAGGATTGGATCAGCAGCATCCCTGCAGGACAAGCTTCCAAAATCCTGACAGACACCCTTAGCAGGAGGGAAGGGCGTGTGGGTCAGTGGGTGCTGTGCCACCGTGTCCCCGTGCCTTGCAGGTGATGCAGCACACCTGGATCGAGGGCAACTCACCTGCCAAGTGCGACAGGTGTCACAAGAGCATCAAGTGCTACCAGGGCATCACTGGCCTGCACTGTGTCTGGTGCCAAATCACGGTGAGTACCCAGGGCTGGGGCACTCCCACAGTGCCTGCACGGCCAGCTCTGGGCTGCTGCTCAAGGGAGGGCACGTGTCCTCTGCTCCACATCCCTTCCTCCCACCCCTGCAGCTCCACAACAAGTGTGCCTCCCATGTGAAGCCAGAGTGTGATGGGGGCCCTCTGCGGGACCACATCTTGCTCCCATCCTACATCTGCCCAGTTGTCCTGGTAAGTGTCCCTCTTGTCCTGGTAAGTGTCCCTCTTGTCCTGGTAAGTGTCCCCTCCTCGCTGCCAGTGACAGGGCACTGCTGAGGCTGCTCTGGCTGCTGGCACTGCCTCCTGGACAGTGTGGGCATCCACGCCTCGGTTCCCCAAAGGACAGGCAGTCCCACTGCCGGCGCTCGGAGAGCGACTCCCCTGCCAGCACCAGCCCCGAGGACAGCCAGGGCTTCAAGTTCAACTCCACCACAGTGGATGGGCAAGGGCTGCAGGTAGGTTCCAGGTGCTGCAGGTGAGCTCTGCCACTGAACTGCACAGCTGAGGAATTCACAGCTGTGTTTTGTGCCCCCCAGATCAGCCCCCAGCCCGGGACACACCCGCTCCTCGTGTTCGTGAACCCCAAGAGTGGAGGAAGGCAAGGGGAGAGGTAGGTGGGGTCCTGCCTGGGAACAGCTTCCCCCCGGGGCTGGGGGCTGCTGGGCATCACTCCTGGTGTGGGAATCACCTTCCTGGCATCCCTGACGTCTCTGTCTTCCCAGGGTGCTCCGGAAGTTTCACTATCTGCTCAACCCACGCCAAGTGTACAACCTGGACCGGGGCGGGCCCACGCCAGGGTACGGAGCTGCTGCGGGTGATCCTCTGCCCCCTCCCACCGGGCCCTGCTCCCCACGTCACCCCTGGTCTCTCCTGGCTTTCCCCAGGCTGAACTTCTTCCGGGACACCCCAGATTTCCGTGTGCTGGCCTGCGGAGGGGACGGCACGGTGGGCTGGATCCTGGACTGCATAGGTGAGCGAGGCACAGCTGTCTTCCTGCAGAGCATCATCCACCTGCATCCTTGGTGATCTGCCATGGGGAATATGATTCCCCATATTCCCCCAGGGAAAGCGGGGTGGTGATCCTGCCAGCAGCATCGTTCCAGGCTGCTGGCTGAGGAGGGACATGGAGAGGAGCAGGGAATGAGCCTTGACAGCCCCACCCTCTCTTGTCCCTTGAACTGCAGATAAGGCGAACCTGGCGAAGCACCCGCCGGTGGCCGTCCTGCCCCTGGGGACTGGCAATGACCTCGCTCGGTGCCTGCGCTGGGGAGGAGGTGAGCACGGGCCGGCCCTCGGGAACCCTTCAGCACGGCCATCCCAGGGGAGGGAGGGTTCCCGGCCTCCTGGGATGCAGTTCAGAGCTGCATCTAAGCCTGGTACCTCTAACTCCTTCCAAAAAGAGCAGCTGCTGCTTTCCGAACCCTCCGAGGCCGGGTCATGCCCAAGCTTTTCCATTTGGAGAGCCCTGCCATGAGCCAAAATCTCTGCCACTGCTCAAGAACGTGCCATAGCAGCACCCCCAAGTGCTTGGCATCTGGCTAGGACATGGCTGTGCTCCCCCTCATCCTCCTTCATCCTCTCTCCCTTGCAGGCTACGAAGGAGGCAACCTGATGAAGGTCCTGAAGGACATAGAGCACAGCACAGAGGTGATGCTGGACCGCTGGCAGATCGACATCATTCCCACTGACAGGGAGGCCAACGGGGATCCCGTCCCATCCACCATCATCAACAACTACTTCTCCATTGGGGTGGTGAGTTCCATGGGGCAGGAGTTGGTTTCTCCTTCCCTGTTCCTCCTTGCTCACTCTTCCAACCTCCCTCCATCTCCTGGGTTTTTTTGGGTTTTTTTCTGGTTTTATTGTTATTTGTAAAGGCAGCACCAAGATGCATAAGCAGGCATGGGATCTCTATCTTCCCAGCAGGAATGTTGCAAGAATGAGTGTGAAAGGAGCTTAAACAGGATTCAGGGAAGTGTGGGGTGCCAAAGACAAGGACACCCCACCTGCCAAGACATCAGCAAAGCCCTGCTTTGGTGTTTGGACCCAGGTGCCATAGCAGCACCCCCAAGTGCTTGGCATCTGGCTATGACCTGGCTGTGCTCCCTTCATCCTCCTTCATCCTCTTTCCCTTCCAGGCTGTGAAGGAGGCAATCTGATGAAGGTCCTGAAGGACACAGAGCAGGTTTTCCTGACCTAGGGAGGTTAGGGAGCTTGGGGAGGATGCCAGCCCTGTGCCATGGGGGTCAGTCCTGAGAGCAGGAGTGTTTTGGGGAAAACCCTTCTCTTCCCAGGGGTTTGCAGCATTTTTGTCCTGTTCCAGGGGTGCCACCATGGCAGGGGTCACTCACCTGCAGCACTGCAGAATGCTTCTGGCCTCACATTGGCTCCTGCTAATGCAGGTGGCATTTGGTGACAGCTCCTGAGCTGGGCTCAAACACCCCCACTCTGCACAGGGCGAGGTTGTGATGAGTTCCAGGAGAGCTGCCACCCTGCCAGGGGAGCTCTCAGGGTGCAGGGTTTTGGGGTGTCCCCAGAGCCCCACTGCTCCACTGGTTGCCTTTCCTCCCCTCTCATCATCCCCTCCATGCAGAGCCCCTGTGATCAGGGAGGGAGGCCAAGTGCACTAATTATGTCTCCCCTAACAAGATTTGGGAAGAGCCTGGCTGAGGCTCCCTGCACCACACTGGGCCATCAGTGTCATCCTCAGTGACACCATGTCATTGTGCCACAGGGACCAGTGGCAAGCATGAGGAGCTGAGCACCCCTCCCGTGGCCTGTGCCCACACAAGGCACAAGGTGTGGGCTCTGTTTCTGTTTCTGTGCCTCTGATGTCTCTGTGCCCCCCACAGGATGCCTCCATCGCCCACCGCTTCCACATCATGAGAGAAAAGCACCCTGAGAAATTCAACAGCAGGTGAGGGCTGCCCTGAGAGCTGGGGCTGGGGGCACCCCCTGCCACTGCCGTGCACCTTGCCACGGGGTTTGGTGTTTGGCCAGCCTTAGGGGACAGGCAGGGCAGGCACTGCCAGGGTGGGGGTCCAGGCAGGCGTGGTGGGGGTCTGCGATGGTTCTTCGAGTCCCCTGCGGTGTGGCAGGCTGCTCAAACTCAGCCACACGCCCACTTAGGTTCATCCATGCTTTATAATTAGTGTGGAATTCCAGGGCAGGCAGGAGCAGGCCAGGCAGGGAGGGCAGGGCAGGCAGCAGGTTGCAGCTCGTTCCTGCTGTGCTCAGGGTGCACGGAAATGGGGTGGTGGCAGCAGGAGCTGTGGCTGGTGACCCCCATCCCAGGTTTAGAAATACCTGCTAGAAAAATCCCTGAGTGCCCTCAAGTTATTTCCTCTTGGATTACAGCCTCTCCCAGCTCACAGCTCCCCCTCAGCAGCTGATGCAGGGAATGAGCCACGGTCAGGGGCTGCTCAGCAGGGTGCTGAGGGTGCTGAGGTGTGGGACATCCCCTCCAGAGAGTGCCCTGTCTCTTGACAGCACATCCCATGCCTAGGGAGCACCCAGCACCTCCATCCTCCCCCTCTGATGGGTGTCAGAGCCCCCCTCTGACAGCCCCCCAGCCCCCAGACACACCCTGGTCCCACCGCACAGCTCCCCAGGGCCAGCATGCCGGTGGTCCCTCTCTACAATGGCTTGTGTCCTCATCCATGGCTCATGTCCCCATCACAGCAGCTCCCTTCAGTCTCTGGCAGCCCCTCCTGCTGCTGGCTGGGGAAGATGCTGCTTCCAAGTGGGATAGTGACATGTCTCTGTGCCCCAGGATGAAGAACAAGCTGTGGTACTTCGAATTCGGGACATCAGAGACCTTTGCAGCCACCTGCAAGAAGCTCCATGACTATGTTGAGGTTGAGGTGGGTTTCCTGGCATGGTCCCTGGCTCTAGCCATGGCACAAAGGCTTTTTGGAGCTATGGATCCCTCAGCTGTTTGAGGAGAGGGTGCCACCACTTTAACCCCTCACTGTGGCAGAAGGACAGGGTGGCTGGCAGGACCCCTTATTCCACTACACAGTGCTTGCTACAAAGCCAGCCAGCTGTGGGCAGAAGAATAATCCTGTATTCCCCACTTCCAGCTGTATTTGAGAGCGTGCCTGGAACATTCTCCCTGTAAATTCTGAGCTGCTCCCAGCCCTCATTGGATGACATGGAAACAGCCTTTAATTAGAGCTGGGAGGAGGGCCCGTGGTTGCTAAGAGTGCTGTCACTTCTCTGTGCTGGGATTTGGGCTGTAAACTTCCGTCTCTCCCTATCTCTGGATAATCCACCCTTTTATAACTTAGGCTGGAGGGTGAGGGGAGAAAATAGCACTTGCAAGAGGTGGTGGGTGCAGGGTGCTGGTGGTGGGCGCAGAGCAGAGCTGGCCCTGCAGATGTGTGGCCACGGGCAGAGGGATTTTGATGCCTGCTTCTATACAGGGAGTTTCTTCCCTTCCCAAAGCCTGGGGTGTGTAGCTGCACCCTTGGGAACTTGTGGGAAGGGGCAGGACCAGCATCACAACCATCCCACCCCCTTCCCCATCCGTGCTGCGCTGACCCAGGGTGGATAAAAAGTCCGTGTTTGTGGGGTTGAATGCTGCTGGAGATGGGCACGAGGTGCCCCCCTGTTCCTTCTCGGGGTGCTCCCCACCAGGTGTGTGTCCCACGGCCAGGAAAGTGTTAATCCCCCAGCGTTTGAAGTTGAAAGCAGCCGCCTGTCCTCCCTCCAGCTCCCAGGCAACTGTCAGCCTCGCAGAGAAATAGCAGTTTTGTTTTGGAAATTGGCACTCGTTCCCCCCTACAACTCCTGGAAATGAATTTGCTTTTTCCCCCAGCTGCAAATTTCTCCTTCCAGCCTCGCTGCCAGCGCCGTCAGCTGCCCCAGCTCAAAGGGCCCATTGTGGCTGCCTGGCAGCAGCGGGAGGGCTCCGCAGGAGAATCCAGAACCGCTCCTGCCCGCGGCTCTGGGCAGGCGTGGGCGGCCCTGGGCAGGAGCAGGCTCCTGCAGCATCCCAGCATCCTCACTGCCGGCAGCCAGCTCCCTGCATCCCATCCCAGCGAGGCTGGGCAGGTGGGAAAGGTGCCTGGGGCTGGGGATGATGCTCGAGGTTTGTCCAGCCCGCTCGCTTGGTAGCCGCTGCTCCTCGGAGCCTTGAGCGCTCTTCTCTTCCTACAAATCACAGTGTCCTTACCATGTATTGAGAAGGAAGGGATTAACATCCTTTCCAAGCTTTGGAGAGACAGCTCTTCCCTCCCAAACCAGAAGATTCCTGCTTTTTTGCTTTCAGTGTGAGGCTAAAAATAAGATCCTGCAGCACCAGGGGAGGCAGGAAGGATCTGACACACGGAGGTGTGAGCGCCCAGCTCCTCAAACACGGGGCTGGTCTCCTCAGCACGGGCCAGAGGGGTGGGAAAAATAAGCTCTAGACCTTTGTTCAAGGAAAACAAGCAGAACTGGAGCAGCAGAAGGGGCTTGTTAGCCCATTTTGTTCCTCTCAGCACAAGAAGTGAGGGCAGAGGTGCCTTTGCATCACCAAAATGCAAGGAAAAAGCTGTGCTGGGATTTGCTGAAGCACAGAGTGGCAGATAAAGAGCAGATGCCTCAAGGAAAATAGGAATGTTTTATAGAAATTCAAGCTGGATGGAAAAGTGGCTGCTTTCAGCAGAGGTATTTAGGAAGGGGATCTGTGTCTGGGTAGCGTGAGAAGATCTGAAGTTAAGAAATGCATTTCCATGGCTGTTGCTTTCAATTCTGTGGGAAAGCTGCAGGCAATGGATATTTTAACTTTTACAGGGAATTTTCAGCTGAGGCAGTCCTGCTGCATGACAGTGAAGCCTGGGATGCCAGTTCTGTGTGCTGTGCTGCGCTTTGCTCTCCAAAACCTGACATTTTTCCCTCTGACACCTTCCCCTAATTTCCTTCCAGCCTTATTTCTAGTTTCCAAATGGCACTTGAAGACAAACTGGTTTGAGCTACGTTTTGGGCAGCCAAACTTTCCAGTCCTTTGGAGTCAGTTTGGACAAGGAGAGGGGGAAGGCAGGTGCTGGAGCTCCTTGGGTGGAAGTTGCTTTGGGGTCAAGGTGGTGTTGCCTCCCATTGTGGGTGACAGCACCGAGTCTAGCCCAGGTTTTGTGTGCTCCTCCAGGAATTTGCTTTTTTGAAACTGCCATTTTGGACCTGTGGTAAAACTCCTATGGAAGCAGAGGGGAGAGCAGCACAAGGAGTGTCAAGTAGATGGCAATAAGGAGAAAGTGAAGGGGGGTATTTGCATCTCCAGCCCCAGCCACTCTGGAGCTGCCAGTGTCCCCTGGAGACCATCCAGTGCCACTCTGTGCTAGGAGCCCACACTCTGTGGTGGGGAGAGGAGGGGGCTCCCTGTGGCAGGCACAGCTCCCCCCTGACACCCCCCATGTGCCTGGCAGTGTGATGGGACCCTGCTGGACCTGAGCAACACATCCCTGGAGGGCATTGCTGTGCTCAACATCCCCAGCATGTACGGGGGCTCCAACCTGTGGGGAGAGACCAAGAAGCAGCGTGGGTACAACAGGCTGGGCAAGAAGGTGCCAGAGAAGGTGCCAGGCACGGTGGTCACCGATGCCAAGGAGCTGAAGTTCTGCGTGCAGGGTGAGTGGGGGGCACCAGGGGAGTGTGGGGTCAGCCCAGGGGCCCTGGGCAGCCACCACCTCTGGAGCAGCAGCACTGGAGGAGTTGGGATCAGCTCTGTGTCTTTTGGGGTGACCCCGCTGTATGGCAGAGGAAGAGCTGGAACCCAACAGCAGAGCTGGCACCAAGGGCTTTTGTCAGCACCTTGCCAGGCTCCGGCACAGCGCTGCCAGCCTGGATGTGGGGTTTGGGAGCAGCAGCTGAGCCCAGCTGGCACGTCCCACCCACTGCTGAGGCCACCAGAGCCACCGCCGTGGGCAGGGACAGCCCCGAGTGCTGGTAGGGGGAGCAGTGGGGCAGAAAGCAGCCAGCAAAACACACAAAGTGCCTGGGCTTTGCACCCACCACCCCCACAGCTGGGGCTGGGCTGGGAACCAGCCCCCCAGAGCAGCAGTGTCACATCCCTGACTGTCACTGTCCCTGCTGCGTGAGCCGGTGGCAGCAGGGAGTGGGTTCAGGGCAAGCCAGCCCCAAAGGGACTGCAGGGGACAGCAGGGTTGGTGCCCTGGGGACATCCCCACTCGTGGGTGGGTGAGAGGGAATGGGAGGCTCAGAGGATTCCCCAGGGCTGATGGGGTGGATGTGCAAGGGGACCCTGGGGCAGAGAGCTGTGCCATTGTCAGGTGGCCTTGCTGGTGGCCCAGAAGAGCGGGATGAGCTGTGAGAAGAGGCCATACCCTGGTTTTTGACCAGATATTCTGCCATGTTTGCTGGCTTCTGGGGAGCTGCAGCACCCCAGGGCACCCAGGCAAGGGGTGCCATCACTTCATACACTGCAAAAAAACTGTGCAAGGGCTGGTGGGATCTGGGCTGGCACCATGCAGGCCCAGCTGCTGTTTCAACTTCTCCTCCAAAGATTTTGGCTAGCAGCACTGCCCAGCGCTGGAAACACCCAGTTTGGTGGTCTCAGGACACAGAGGACATCAGGATAAATCCCCTCAGTGCCACCAGCCCTGCTGTGCTGGCCCTGAGGTTTCCAGGGAGGGCAGAAGGAGGGGGATACCTGGGGATGGGGGAGCAGCTCGGTCCCTCTGTCCTGCAGACCTCAGCGATCATCTCCTGGAGGTGGTGGGGCTGGAAGGCGCCATGGAAATGGGGCAGATCTACACGGGGCTGAAGAGTGCGGGCAAGAGACTGGCCCAGTGCTCCTCCGTCATCATCAGGTATTTGTCCCCTTCACACCGAGTGCCCGAGCAGCGGCGGAACCCGACACCTGTGTCACCGCCTTCCCTTCTTTGTGCCTCGCAGGACGTCCAAGCTGCTGCCCATGCAGGTGGATGGGGAGCCCTGGATGCAGCCCTCCTGCACCGTGAGTGCCCAGGGAGGGGCAGCAGGGGTGGGCATGGGCACCTGGGCTGGCAGGACGTGGGCATGGGCAGCGGGGGTGGCAGGACAGCAGGCTGGGACAGCCTTGGCTCCTGCTGGCAGAGCCGCTGGGTTTGGAGAGAGGCTGGAGCTGGGTTTGGAGAGAGGCTGGAGCTGGGTTTGGAGGGAGGCTGGAGCTGGGTTTGGGGGGAGGCTGGAGCTGGGTTTGGAGGGAGGCTGGAGCTGGGTTTGGGGGTGGCTGGAGCTGGGTTTGGGGGGAGGCTGCTGCTCCTGCTCGTGGGTGGCCACAGAGCCCGAGCAGCTGTGACTCCATGCCCTGCACCCATGGCACACCCATTTCTTGCTGGATGGGCACAGCAGCATTCCTCCCTGGGGGAGCTGCAGCAGGGTCCCCTACCATTTCTCCTCTTCCCATCCCAGCACTGCCTGGATGTGATTCCAGAGCTCTTCACCCCGGTGCTGAGCTGCTCCCAGCTTCATGGGGCCACCCCTGAGGGTCCTGGGGCTCGAGGGTGCCTGGGAGGGCTCAGGACCCTCTTACTGAGCTGGGTTTTTCTACTTCTTTTTAGGTCAAAATTACACATAAAAGCCAGGTGCCCATGCTGCTGGGGCCCCCCCAGAAGAGCAGCTTCTTTTTCCTGAAGAGGAGGAGCCGAACTCGGGATTAAAGCATCACCCAAGGACCCACAGCCTGGAGCACTCAGCATCCCAGCCACCTGCCTGATTCAGGGTCCCCAAATCCCCATCCCATGCTGGGGACAGAAACTCCCCCTCCAAGCCCACTGGGGATTATTTATCCTGGGAAGGTCTTGTAGGCTCCTTCCTGACCACAGAAGCATCCTCTCAAGCTGGGATGGAAGAAGGGGGAGAAGGCAGGCTGGCATGCAGTGAGCACATTTGCTGGAGCAGCACCAGGACTGGGATTTTTTTCCCCCCCTTTATTTAAATACCCTCCAGCCAAGCTGCCAGTGAATGTGCTCCTGAGGCAGCACTAAGCTCCACTTATTTATTTATCCTCCTCCTGAAGACCACTTGATGTCTCAGTGCACTGGCTTTGTCCCCCAGTCCTTGAAATGGGAGGAATTATTTATTTCCTTAGCCCAGAGGAGCCATCTCGGCCCCTCACCTCTGTGCTGTGGGGTTTGGGAGCGATGCAGAGAGCCATTGCTGCCAGCCCAGTGAGCCACGAGCTGTGGGACAGACTGGGGACAGACAGTGCACAGGGACAAGCCTGGGGTGGATGGCAGGAGACTGTGTTTTTACAGGGAAATGGCAAAAAAAGGGATTTTGGGGGGAGCGGCCCCAGCTCCGGGCTTTGTGTTCATATTTATGTATTTATTTAGCAAACTTTGGACAAAAAAGGGACTCTGGGGGTCACCTTTTTAGGAGCCCAGGCTGGACACAGACACCACCTCCCTGCTCTGCTGGCTGTCCTCCATGGCACCTCCTTCCACGTGGACTTTCCTCTCTCCTAAAGCCTGCCAGCCTCTCCTGGGGGCTGGAGACCCTGGGGACAGACATCCAGAAGCTCTTCTCACTTGAAGGTGTCCCCAGCACCTTTTAGACATCTCCCAGTGAGCTCTGCCAGGCTGTGCTCTCCCTGTGTGTCAGGTGCTGCCCCTGATGCTCCTGGGCTGCAGGGAGTGGGGCAGGGGGGCTGCACCTCCCTTTCTGTAGGGCCAGGCCTCCCCACAGCTCTCTCCAAACCCAAAAAGCCTCACAGATGCTGCCTGCACGACTGCTGGGGCCCACTGGCATGCACAGGCAGGCTTTGGTGGCATCACCCATCGATGGACAGATCAGGGGATGCAGTTTCTCCCCAGGATGCACAGGGACCAGAAGACAGATGAAGGCACAGAGTTTGTGGTGGTCTGGATGCACTCCCAGGAGCCAGGAGCTGCCAAGGCTGGCCCATGGGAAGGGCTGCTGGCTGCTTCTGCAGTCACCCAGTGCCTCCAGCAGTGGGCCTGCACGCAGGGCACAGCCACATCCTGAATTCAGCCTGCTCCCAGGCAGCTCCCCCGGGTGCTGGAGCTCCTGTGCTGCTGGGAGCGGTGTGTGCCCCGTGGGTGTCACTGCGGGCAGGAAAACTCCTGCTTGTCCCCACTGTGTCCCTGCCGCAGGGCTGGCACGAGTCACCCTGTCCTCCCCAGTGCCCCCTCAGTCCCTGCTGACGCTGCAGGTCCCCAGTCAGTGGCATTCTCCTGGCAGAGGGTGCTGCCAGCACTGTTCCAGAGTGGCTGGAGGGGACCTGTTGGTGACCTGTGTGCACAGGCAGGCGTCACTGCAGTGCACAAATCCACCCTCCTCCTCCTCCTTGTCCCCCAGGGCAGCTGTTTATGAGTAGCCAGGTGAGAGCAGATGGAGCAAGGCCAAACAAAGCCCAGGTCCCACGCCCCAGCTGCCTCCATCTCCCCAGCCCATTGCCAAGGGCAGCAGTGCCTCACAGCCGGTGCAAAAGCCACCTCAGCCATCTGCAGAGCTCTGCCAGCAGGAGGGTGACAGTCTGTGGGATGGCAGCACACAAGGTCAACAGGTTTGGTTCTATTTCCCTGCCCACTCAGCCTCCAGGCAGGGATTTATCCCAGAGCCTGCATGGAATCAGCTGTGGGTTTCTGCTCCTTGCCCCCGTCACACTTTGCTGGGCTCTGGGCAAAGAGCAGCCCTGGGGTCTCTGCTGTGGTTGGCAGAGCTGGGGGAGCAGGAGGGCACTGTGCCCGTGCCTGCACCCTCGGGCCTGGCAGTGCCAGGGGTGAGCAGCTGAAACCCAGGGGTGAACACCCAGCCACGTCCTGCAGGGCACAGGGAGCCCAGGGCCACCACTCTGGGACGGTGGTACACCAGCAGCACTCTGCCAGGCTCCAACCCAGATGTCCCCTCTGATGGCCAGGGAGATGATCCCTGCCCCAGGGGACCCAGCTCCAGTCTGCTCCCACACTGCCACAGGCTGGGCCTGCCAGCTCCCCACCTCCTTAGTCTGATGGTGCAAAGGTCCCGAGCCCAGGGGGGACCCACAGGGGCTGGGACTTCATCCCAGCTGTCCCTGGCTCCAGGGAGGAATAAGCCATGCAGCTGAGGGGCACTCGAGGCCTTGACGTTCCCCAGTGCCTCCCAGTTCAACCCAATTCCCACGTGCGTGGGATGGAACCAAACCCCCAAACAACCCGCTGGGCACTGGTGCCAGTGCTGCACTGGGGGACCCCTGAGAGCTGGGGACCCCCGGGGGCTCAGCCAGTGTCCCCTGTGTGTGTGTAGCCGTGGTTGCCTGCATGGAGTGGTGTCCGTAGCGTAGCGCGTGTTGCCGTGTACACCCGGGCTGCTGTGGCCTTGCCTCCAATAAAGATGGTCGTGACCTCCTCAGCTGCTCCTGGGCTGCACAAGGGTCATCCCTGGCCAGGAGTGGCCCTCTGGGGACTAAAAGAGACGGTGCCCACTCCAGGCCGCCGGGGCTGAAGGGGTGCAGGCGGTGGCAGCGCGATGGAGTGGTGCTCAGTGGGAGCTGCATCCGGCTAAATTTGGAGCCTGCAAAAAAAAAAAATTTTTTTTTTTTTTTTCATCAGTGGGGTCTAAATTTAGCAGGCACCGGTCACCATCCCCCCCTGCCAGCCCTGGCTCTCCAGGGGTTTCAGCTCTTCCTGTGAGCTCCCACCAGCCTGTCCCATGGCCGCGCTCGGCCTCGTCACCTCTCCGTGTCCCGGGGGTCCCGTGCAGCTGCCCTGGGCTCCCCGTTGTGCCCCCAGCTCTGCAGGGACCCCCTCATCCCCACTGCCCACCGTGCTCCCCAGCCCGGGTTTTGCCACCTGCCCGCCCATGTGTCATTGCTAATTTTACCTGCAGTGATTTAATCGGGTTGCCTTTGTGCAGAGGGGAAGTGAGAGCACGAGTGACTGCAGAGCCCCCAGGAACAGCTCTGAGCAGCAAGGACACCCCGTGCCCTCTGTGCTTCCTGCCCCCAGCTGCCCCCCCATCATTCCACCCGGGACACGATGGCACACGAGCTACCTGCCATGAGCGCCGGGGGGGTGGAGGTGGCCCTGGGGGACTCTGGGAGCTCATTAGTGACCCAGCATGGACACAGGAGCTCCTTCCAGCAGCCCAAAGACAGGCTGGGCAGCTCGCCCAGGACACTGACAAGCCCATGACCTGAGCATTTCAAGCTGGCCAGGCCATCTCTGCACCAAGAGGCTTCCGAATCCCTGGGCAGCTTCCCAGGATCCGAGCAGAAGGTTCCTCTCCTTCCCAAGCTGAGATGTGCAGTGTGTAACCAAACACCTTGTTTTTGCCTTCTCCAGCAATAACTTCCTAGTCTCCCTGCACAGCAATGTGAGGCCTCCCCACAGCCCGTTTTTCTTGTGCAAACTGCTGGGTCCTCCCTGAGCAGCCACTGCCAGGTCCCCACGGCAGGTCTCACCCCCTTCTTACAGGTAGGGAAACTGAGGCACTTAGCAGGGAAATGCTGCAGTGAGGGGCCTGGCAGGCACCCAGCAGCACCATTCTGTCCTAAATTCACTCCCAAACCTCTGGGACGTTTGGTGTCCTTCAAGGGTGTGTGTCCATGAATCTGCTCAGAGGGATCCGTGCCCCCAAAAAGCCCTTGCAGGTGGGAACTATTTTTCCCGTGTCCCTTTTTAAAGGCAATGATGGCTGCAGGGAAAGGCTGCTGAAATGAGTACTCAGGCTTGGGTTAGCCCTGGGCTCGCAGGGACGCTGCCTTGCTCGTGTGGAACCACGTCCCAAGAAAGCAGAGGGGACCCAGGGCCATGAGGCCCGAGGTCCGTGCCACCTGTGTGTCTTGCTGTGTGCCAGCTCCTTGGGCACGTTGTGCACGGACCCGCTCCTTCCTCGCCACCCTGGAGCCGGACCCGGGGTTGTCCCCCCCTCCCAGTTCTCCCACCCCAAGGCCGCCGTTGAACCCCCATCCCCGCTCCTGCAAAGGGCCGCGGCCCCTTTAAATCCTGCGCTGCCCCGGCCCCACCCGTCAGTCTTTTCCCCCTTCTATTTTTTTATGAATGAAAAACGTTCCGGGCGGAGCCAGGCAAATCGCCGCGCGCCCATTGGTGGCCTCCGCCCCCGCCCACTCAGCCGGTCTCAATGGTGCTCGGCGGAGCGGCGCGCGGGCGGGCGCGGAGCGACCCCGCAGCCAATCAGACGGCGCGGGCGGCAGAGCGGCGGCACGCCATTGGCCAGCGCGGAGGGTAAACAAGCGGCGCGGGGCGGGGCGCGGCGGAGGCCGCTGGCTCGGGGGCTGCGGGCCGGCGCAGAGCGGCAGCGCGGTGCCCAGGCTCGGAGAGGCGCCGCTCCATCCCCGGCCCCGCTCCCGGCTCGTCCCGCTGCCGCTGAGGCTGCGGCGCCCCGGCCGGGTACGTGGGGGCCTGGCGGCGGGGCGCGGCGCGGCCGGGGCCCGGGCCTGGGGCGGGGGCGGTGTTTATGAATGGCGCGGGCCGCGCGGTGTGAATGGCGGGGGGCGCGCGCCAGCGGGCGCTCGAGCGCGCGCTCGGGGGGAAGGGAAGGGAAGGGAAGGGAAGGGAAGGGAAGGGGGGCGAGGCGAAGCGAAGAGCGGCCCGCCCCGCTGCCTCCTCCCGCTCCCACGGCGCGTGATGTCACGGCCGTTTCTATAGAAATTAGGTGACATCACGAACCGGGGGGCTGCGACCCGCCACGGCAGGAGCGGGCCGGCTCCCCGGGGAGGCGTGGCGGCAGCGAGCCAGCCCCGGGGGTGGCAGGGGCCAGGGTGTGACCCCTCCCCCTCCCCGTCCCCTCCACCCCCAGCCGCGCACCTGCCGGAGCCCGGGCGGGACCCCCCTTCCCGGGCCGGCGTCGATGCTGAGCGGGCCGGGGGCACTGCCCGCTTCGCCCGCACCATGGACGGCTTCTACGACCAGCAGGTTCCCTTCATGGGCCCCGGGGTAAGTTTGCCCACCCTGATCCCCCGTTGGCACCTTCCTCCCCGGCTTTGGGGGCACCCCTTCCCCATCCTTGGGGCACCCGCTCCTCATCCTTGGGAGCGCCCCCCTTGTCCTTGGGGGCACCCCCGGCCTTGGGGCTGCCACCCTCACGGGCAGCTGTCACCCTGTTCCTTGCAGAAGTCCTGCACAGAGGAGGGCCGAGGCCGGCCGGGGTCCGATAGGAAAAGGAAATTTTTGGAGACTGACCTGGCCCATGACTCGGAAGGTAGGCAGGGCTGGCCCCGTGAGGCCTCTTGCCTCGTGTTGGTTGTTTTAGAAATAATCCTGCAAATAATGGCAGTTTTATTTGTTCTTCTGTGGAGCACATAAGTCTTTCACTCTGTTCCAGAGCTCTTCCAGGATCTCAGCCAGCTCCAAGAGGCCTGGCTAGCTGAAGGCAAGTCTTCACCTCCGCCTTTTGCCGTGTAAAATCATTCTGTGAGCATCTTTTTGAGAACTGAAAACGCCATAAACCCACTTTTTTGTTTGTTTTTTTTAGCTCAGGTCCCCGATGACGAACAGTTTGTCCCAGATTTCCAGTCTGACAACTGTAAGTGATTGTTCTGGGGTTTTGTTCTCTGGGGGTAGGTATTTGGGTGCCTGTGCAAACATTTGCACTGGGTTTGGAGTTGCTTCCTTGGGAAAGCAGTTGTTCCTGGGGCTGAAACGTGAAATCAAGGGCTTTTGGGAGAAAGCACGTGTGGTTTGGGTTCGTGATGATGCGGCGTGCAACGTCCTGCCTTTTGTTAATGGGGAAAACTATGGCCAGATGCATGGAAATAGCTCTAAACTGCTCTCTGGGTTCCTCTGAGGCGTGATGCTTGTTCGTAGTGAGCTGGATTCCCTTCTAAACACTCCTTTTCCTTTTCAAGTGGAAGAGATAACCCGTGCTGGGCTGCTTGGTTAGCCACAATCTCTGCAGTTTCTAGAGCTTTTTAGAGTCCTGGCCCGGCGCTGTTGGCAGGAGCGAGGCTGAGCGGTGAAACTTGAGCCGCTTTAAGCAGCATTAATCACTGGCAAGCCAGCCTCTTTAAAAGGAGGCCAGTGAAAATGCAGTCCCTGGTGAATTGCATAAGAGCCAGAGCTGGTTCTGAGCCGTGCTGTGTTGCCAGAGAGGGTCGGTGGCGAGGCAGGGGCCAGGGAATGGCGCGTGGGGCTCCGGGAGCTGCTCTGGGGTCGGCTGGGGGAGAACGGGGGCGGAATCAGGATGTTTTGAGTTGTTACCTGGCAAGCACAAGTAGTAGCTTGGTGTCGGTGGCTGGGTTTTGCTGCCGAGCCAGACAGCTACGGAACTCAGAGGAAATCAAATTTAGCCTGCAGTCGAACAGATTTTTCATTCCAGCCCTGTCACAGCATGCAGCGGGGTATCTCCTCCGACAGCAAGCGCGCGTTAATTATTGCTCTTTGGTTACTTTGGAGTGGGAAGCTTGCCATTGAGCCCGTCCAGACAGCCCAAGTTTCAGATGTGTTTTTTTTCCCCTGTCTCCCCTGAGATAAAAGGCGAGCCCGGAGTCAGAAACACAAGGGTCTGTTGACATCCCCAGCACAGCCCAGCAGCTCTTGCTCGGAGCAGCAGAAACTGCAGTGTGCGTGGGAGGGTGGCTCTTGAAGCTGAAGCTGTTTCCAGTGCCTTTTGGCAGTCTCTTTTTCCTTGTAACCTGAAGAGCTTAGAGAGGAGAGACAAACTTTTCTGGGTGATGCAGGAAAAAAGAGGAGAAGAAGAAAAAGGCGTTTATTTGGTCAGGACTCTTAAAAGTGTTCTGATCTGCTCAGCCTGTGGACCTGGTGTTGAAACAATTTTGTCGCTTGAAAGCGCTGCCTGCGTGACTCCCTGCAGCAATAACCTTCCTTAACTTGCCTGGGGAGAGAAAGCAAAGGTTTCTCTTGCTGTTGCACTGCTGGCTGTGCAGGGTCTCAGACTGAGGCACAGGGGAATGGGAAGCCCAGCTCTTGCATCCCTGCACTAAAGAGAGTTTACAGAGCAGAGAAACTCCAGTTTTGAAGCGTGTGCCATGTAGTTAGGGGGAGAAGGATGGCTCTGGTGCAGCTGAGGTCTGCACCCAGCTTTCACTAGCAGGGACGTGCTGCCTTCCTGGGCTGGCAGTCACAATGGAGTTCAGCATCCGTTGGCTTCTGAGGAAAGGTAGATCAGTCCTCAGTCCCTACAGATGTTTGTGGACTCTGTTTCTGCAGCTGTGTGGCTCCATGCCTTTTCCCTGAGGAAACTGCTGCTTTCTTATCCTGAGCAAACCTCAAGTCTTGTGCCCCATCTTGCAGTCCCAGGGCCAAGCTTCCTTGGCACAGCAGGGAAAAGGGACAAACCGGGCTCAGTTTGGACCCTGCTGCAGTGGGGAATGTGCCACGTGGAGTCTTGGAGATGCTCAGAATCCTTCTTGCCTTGCTAAAACCCCCTCATAGCTGCCTGCAGCTCTGTTACTGCCCACTCTCTGTTCCCAATTCTGTAGCCAAGATCCCTGGCAGACTGGGTCTTAAAGTTGG